CCAAGTGGCTCAGTTGGTTAAGAGCTTGCTCAAGAGTGTGAGCTCTGAGCAACTAGCGGTTAGATTCCCGCCTTGAGCTGAGCTGCTGCTGAGCTCTCCCCCAATTCCCCAATAAAATATTTAAAAAAAAAAAAAAAAAAAGGCTGTGAAAAGATAAAACAAACGTTTTCACCTGGCTCCATCAACCCACACATATCCCTTTTAGCCAGTTCCTCTCACTAACTTGTCACAAACAAGTTTTTTTCTTACCCTGATTACCTCTATTCTCCTGTGGTCCAAATTTGGCCTGCTACCTCCTTTTTGTATAACCTGCAAGCTAAGCACAGCTTGTAGATTTTTTAAATAATTGAAAAAAACAAAAGTAGGATAAGTTTTTATGATGCATGAAATTCAAGTTTCAGTGTCTACAAATAAAATTTTATCGTAATACAGCCATGCCGTTTGTAATATATTGTTTATGGTTGCTTTCATGTACAATGACAGACTTGAATAGTTACAATAGAGACTGTATGGTCCTCAAGGTCAACAATATTTATTATCTGAATTTACAGAAAGTTTACCAACCTTTGCTAGAGACACTTCAACACCAACGTGACTTGGGAGCTATAGAGATTACTATAAAGTTTGGGGGCAGGGGAAACATCGCATTCAGGGTATTACCTTAAGATCTAGACCATTACTAGACTGTTGAAGAAAGTTTGGAGAAAGGATTCAGATCGTTTCAAAGATCAGACTAGCAGAAAAGAAATCAGACCAATCTGAAAGTATTCAAAGAAACAGGACTAAAAAATACTAGTAAAAATAGCTGCTCAGGGCGCATGACTTAGAATATTGTAGATAGTTGGGTTGGATGGCTTCTCATGTCCCTCTAACCCTGAGATTCTGTTTCTCCTAGTCTATGCAGATCTATGTTAGCACCTTGGAAATTTAAAAAAATATGAGTTTCATAAAATGTGAATGTACCAATAAAAAAACATCTTTTGACCAATGACAACCACATTAGCTGTCCTTCCTTCCCCTTCCCCCCAAATTTGTTTTTGGAAAATAAAAGAAATCACATAATAATAAACCCTGTTAAACCCCACAGACTTTGTCCCACCTGTGTTACCAAATTCTAAAAAGTTAAAAATAAGGGAGTTTCCTAGGAAACAAAACCATGAATATTAGTCTTGTCTTACCACAAGGGTGCTGTTATAATATCCCGCAACTAAAGGTCTCACACACTGTAATTGACTCTGGGGAAAATAAAAGAAGTAACAGAACACAAGAGAGACCAACCTTAGCAGTTACCTTCAGTGGAAGCCACAACTATTCTCCCAATATATAAGGAAACTGGAAGAGGACATCTACAAATAAGCAGGCAAATACTACATCAAGTTTCAATAGTTTAGTCCTTCATTTTGATCCAGCCAGAGCTGATTAATTGTGTCTTCTGCCAAGAGCTCTTCACAATAACTACTGCTGACCCCATTAGGTTCAAAATCATTGAAATCTTTCTAGGAACAGATTTATATCTCTTCTCTCGGACTGCAAAAGGATTTTCTATGGATACTGACACCTCCAGGTAAAGGTGGTTCTCTCTTCCTCAAGTAGCACCTACCATTGTCTGATCCTATTTTCCAGAGTTAAACATCACCTACAGGACTTGATCATTGATGTGGTGAGGTGCTGAAAAGAGAGGAAGATATTCCCAAATATAGATGATCACAGAGTGAGTTTCATATACAGATAAACGATAGGTCCAAACACTGTGCAAATAGTTTCTCCACTCTCAGTCACTTTATTTCTCAATGTCTTTCCTTGTTTAATTATTCAATATATTTCTTTCTGCTCTCACAGAAAAAATTTTTTATTGTTCTGCTAAGTCTAACTATGCACTACCATTTAGCCATTTTATATCAAAATAACACTCTCTTCCTAAGCCTTACATTGGTTACATCTTTCTCCAAAACTACTCTTCTTCAGAGATTCATTCTCTGCTTAGATTCAACACCAACCAAGCAGGTAAGAGCATCTGGAGTTCTGTGGTTGTTCCAACTTTACTCCTTGCTGTTTGGTCTTTGTCAGGTCCCTTCTCCTACCTGTAAGACAGGTTCTCTGCCCACAGTTTGAAGGATGGGTGTGAGTAAAACTGTAATCTGATTTCTGTGTTAGTGAATGTTTTAAACACATAGTTCAAACTCATTGCTAATAAGGGTTTTATATTTTAATGAAAACTTGTAGTCTCATTTCTTAGACTTAGTAACTCAAATTTTCTCATCTCATTGTATATATGTATATATTCTTTGCAATTTACTCCTCTTTAGATTATTTTCAGTTTTACATGTCTTATTGTAAAATTCAGAAAAATAGCAATAAATTATATAAGTTTCTAAATATTTGAGATGCTTTTATAAATTAAAAGAAAGTGTTTTGAGTTTATTTTCAAAAAATAATTATTTTTTTAAAGTTTTCTTCATGGCCATTTGAGAGATGGATGACTAGAGTTAGGTATGTAATTTGGGACCAGAATTAAGCAAATATCCTCTGCTGAAGTGAGGTCAAGCCTATGTCCTTTGCCTCATTAGTAAAGGTGCCTAGTCCCATAGGTAAATCAATCACTAACAATTTCTTTAATGATCAACATTGTTATTTATAGTCATTTTGTGGTCCACTAATGAGTCCCATCTTTTTCAAACATGATTGTACTAGATGACCTTTTATATTTGGTATCATATCACCATTCAAAAATACATTGCACCAATATCTTCACAGTCAAAGTCTCTGTAAAATGAAAATATTGCTAAGCCCCCAGCAACGTTCTATTTTTTAAAGAAACACCCAGTGTGATAGAATTCCAGACAACGAAAGGAGATGGGCTACTTTATGTATTCATGGTAAAGAAAATTTGACTCTTGTTTGCTTTTAGAACATGCACTTAATTCTACTACATTAAGGTTTAGAAATAGGGGGCAGTGACACCAGTTTAAAGTCTTTGACAGAATGAACCACCAAACTCTTAAAATCGTTATTTAGATCAAGACAAAGCTGTGGCCTCAGGACACTGATGATTAATGTTTCAATGAATTTTTAAAACTCCTAATGAGTTAGCAACCTGAAATAATATGATTCATTACATTATTTTGGCTTATTTGTTAGAAGTAATGTTAAGTAAAATGTAGAAAAAGTTCTAAACTGGAAACCATAAAACGTAGTTGGAGTCCTTACTCTAGCACTATATGGCTATGGGACTCCTCTGTCATTTAACTCTTCTAAGGATCATAAGAACACTACAGAGATGTAAAATACCATCATCATTTTGTGAGTTCATATCACCCTAGTCCATTGAGGTCTCATTAGTGCCATGTTCTCCTCCCTACTTCTCTCTCTCTCTCTCTCTCTCTCTCTNGACAGCAACTTGTCTGTTCCCCTTCCCCCAATTCCCCAGCACTGTTCCCATCCCCCCAATTCCCCAATAAAAATCTTTAAAAAAAAATTAATAACAAACACATGACATCAGCGTTGCTTTTATACATCTTATCTTTCTTCCTCTAAAAGACAATGAAGTCCAGTTCTGAGGGTTAAGTTTATTTCTCCTATATTTTCAAAGGCATGTTTTCTAAAAGGTCTTATTCTTTCTCTATCTTCACTAGAATAGATACAAAATGAATGCAGGGATATTTTATTCACTGATTTCACCCTCCTCGTAATTGAAAGTGTCTAGCACATATTAGGCTTCCAGTAAAATACTTGTGGGATGAAAACCATCCATTTTACCTTTATTTCCTAGTCCCTACCACCAAGTCCATCTTATTTATCCCAAAAGGATGACTCAAAATCAGCTGATAGAAGAATTTAAACACCCAAGGTTAAAGGGAAAATATACACAGAAATAAATAGATGTACTAAGATGTACTAAGAGAAAGAGGAATTCACATATGAGAAAGAAATTCTGCATTTCCCTCTACACACAGAATATATAAGCTATAGTGTTCAATAAACTTCAAAGACTTTGGGATAGCACACAAGAAATACAATTCAGAAAAAGAAAAATCTTTAAGCTCGATACCAGATTTTACTATTTCTTATGTCCATCATTAGTGCTTTTATGGAGATTTCCTACAGGCCATGTCTTTCCCACCCCACCCTCTACCTCAATGCAAGGCCTCAGTCTTCTGTTCCACAGAGAGTTCTCCTTGATCTTCCTTTTACTCCTTAAATCCACAGATCCCACATTCTCCAAAATGCTCCAACTTTGGTGGATAAATCCACCAAAAAGTTAAGTAATATCAAAATAATCCCTCCAAAAAATACAAAAATGAAAACAGAGTTTACAGAATTAAATGGAATCTTAATATCTCAAGCAGAGGCATTTCCCTTTACTTCACAAATTTCAGAGCCTTCCAGGGATAAATGAATAAATATATGACTTATAATTGCATAAACAAAAGTGCTCACCAAGAATCTTTCCTTTGAATAAAAAGCTTTCTCTAAAAGCAAATTCTATCTTCCACCCTTAGAGCCACAGGATAAGTAGGACAGGAGGGAAAGGAGAAGAAAAAGAAGAGAGAGAGAGTTCATCTTTCCTTCTAGCAGCCCGTGGTTCAGATATACTAGGATTCACTTTCAGAGTCCCCTGCTACATTATTCTAAACAAGCTTAAAGTTAAAGGTAGAAGCAGGTGTATGATGCTTGACAATTAAGTTCGCGAACTTGCCACTGTGTGCTTACTTTGGAAGCATTGTACAAACAGCTCGGTGAGGTTTCATAGCCTTGGTATATCAATGTCTCACAGCTGTATTCATATCAACATGTGGCGGGCGGTGTCTTGTTGAATGGTGTTCATTATTGTTGTTGCATGTTTTTATGTGCCATCGTGAGAATGTCTGAGCTTGAATTAGAACAACCAACAATTATTAAATGTCTTGTTAAACTTGGCAAGAGTGAAGTGAAATCAGGGACAAGTTAAACTTGGACAAGTTAATCCAAGTTTATGGGAATAATGCCGTGAGAAAAATGACAGTGTACAAATGGATTAAACGTTTTTCTGAGGGGAGAGAACGCATCACTGATGAAGAGAGGCCAGGGCAGCCAGTAACGAGCAGAGCTGATGAAAACATTGCAAAAATTCATCGAATTATGTGTCAAAATCGTCAGCTGACTGTGACAAGCACAGCAGACCAAGTAAATATCGATAGAAAAATGGTTATGAAAATCTTAACTGAAAATTTTGGCATGAGAAAGGTGTGTACAAAAATGGTTCCAAAGAAGCTCACCAATGAACAAAAGCAAAGGAGAGTCCAAGTTTACCAAAAACTTTTGGAGAAGCAAGATGAAGTTTTGGGCCATGTTATCACTGGTGATGAAACATGGGTGTACCAATACGACCCTGAAACAAAGTGTCAAAGTGCACAATGGAAGTCAGCCAGTTCTCCATGACTAAAAATTTCTGTCAGTCCAAATCAAGAGTCAAAACAATATTACTAAATTTTTTTGATATCAGAGGGATTACTCATTATGAATTTGTACCAACTGGACAAACAGTTAACCAAGTTTACTATTTGGAAGTGCTGAAAAGGCTGCATGAAAANCTCTCTCTCTCTCTCTCTCTCTCTCTCTCTCTCTCTCTCTCTCTCTCTCTCTCTCTCTCTCTCTCTCTCTCTCTCTCCAGTTTTGTTATTGAAATGAATTAGGCATCTCAGAGCCACATCTGGGATATCAATGAATCAGAGTAAGTAGAGGGGTATTCAGCCAATGAATACCAAGTTTCATGCTTGGAGATCTATAATAATGGCAGTGGCACGGTGAAGAAGGTCATGACAAATCAGAGGTAAAAACAAACAAACAAACAAAAAAGTTGCCCTGTTAATCTTTTTAACTAAAGGGGAAGGAAAATTGTTAAAAAAACAAATAGAGGAACACTTAATTGCAACTAGAATGAAATCACACCTAATAAAGACAGAATTACACATAGAGCTACATTCCTTCCCATGACCCTCCCGTTAAGATGGCTCTAAAGCCCAAGGGCAAGATTAGGAAATACATTCTCTTGGGTTGAATAAAACAAAAGTCAGCATATACACATACCAAATCATTATGTTGTACACTTGAAACTAATATAATGCTAATGTAAATTATACCTCAATATAAAAATATAAATTTAAAGAAATGTAAGTTTAGGTTCTATGAGATACTATGCTAACTTGGTAGACTTCTTTTTCATAAGAAAAATATCTCCAAAGGAGATGGTTTCATTGTACTGTAACCAGTTTTGTAATAACCTGGAAACCTTATCCTAACACTTTTTTTTTAATGCCTATAAATACCCTGTCTTTCAAATGCTCTTGGTAACTCTATATTTTAACTAGTTTGCTCATTCTTGAGTTAATAAACCTTTGACATACGTATATTTTTTAAGATGTTATTGGGGAATTGGGGAAGGGAACAGTGTTGGGGAATTGGAGAAGAGGAACATTGTGTTCTTCCAGGACCCATCAGCTACAAGTCAAGTTGTTGATCTTCAATCTTAGTTGTGGAGGGCACAAGCTCAGCTCCATTTCCAGTCGCCGCTTTCAATCTAGTTGCGGGGGGCGCAGCCCACCATCCCATGCGGAGTTGAACCTGCAACCTTGTTGTTAAGAGCACGCGCTCTCACCAGCTGAGCCATCGGGCTGCCTGTTGGCAGCTCATTGGCAGCTCAGCAGCAGCTCAACTCAGGTGCAGCTCACTGGCCCATGTGGGAATCGAACCAGCGACCCTGTTGCTCAAAGCTCACACTCGTAACCAACTGTGCCATCCAGCTGGCCTAAGATATATTTTAAAAACACACAAGAATCAGCACAATATGTGTGGATTGGAATTCCCTATCTATGGGAAATTTCCTCAAAGCAAAAATAGTTACACAAGAATAATTCAGGGCCGGCCAAATGGCTCACTTGGTTAAGAGTGGGAGCTCTAAGCAATAGGGTCGCCGGTTCAATTCCCACATGGGCCAGTGAGCTGCGTCCTAGCTGAGCTGCCGCTGAGCTGCCAACAGGTGGAAGGATGGCTCAGCTGATGAGAGCACGTGCTCCTAAAAAGATTGCCAGTTCGATTCCTGCATGGGATGATGGGCTAAGCCCACCTGCAACTAAGATTGAATATGGCACCTTGAGCTGAGCTGCCCTGTGCTGCCTACTGGGACAGCTGAATGGCTCAGTGGTTAGAGTGTGTGCTCTTAGCAACAAGGTTGCCAATTAGACTCCCGCGTGGGATGGTGGGCTATGCCCACCCGCAACTAAGATTGAACATGGCACCTTGCACTGAACAGCTGCAAGCAGCCGTCAGGCAGCCAGATGGTGACTGGACTTGGAGCTGAGTTAGCAGCGCCCTCCACAACTAAGATTGAAGGACAACAACTTGGCTGTTCCCCTTCTCCCACTCCCCAACACTGTTCCCCTTCCCCAATTCCCCAATAAAATCTTTAAAAAGAAAGAAAGAATAATTCAGAGAACAGAGAATGTTCCCCACTGCAAATAAGAAAACAGTATGGCAAATAAACAAGAAAAAATAATTAAGGAACCCTAAAATGTTAAGAAATGTGCTGAAAAGAAGAAAGCTATTAGAACTAATAAAGGCAATCTAAAAGAGATATAAACTCAGGAAAAAAAATAATAAGAGTAATTGTCAACTTTGTCAATGTATCCCCAGGTGAATACTGTCCAGGTGAAAAAGGTATTGCATCTGAAGGGAAGCTTGAAGTATAAAGATAAAGGTACAGTACTGTGTAATTTACTAGGTGTAATTAATTGAGAGCTATTGAAGCCTAAATTGTGTGCTCCATCAAGTTCCTTTTGCCCTGATTCAAAATTCAGAAATATACATCTGATTCCTAATTTGATTTCCAGGGACCTTGATATTAGTAAGTGGTTGCCCTGGGCAATTACTGTGACACTCCCACACCATTTCAGTCATGGAAGTGAGATCTCCCACTGTAGATTATCAAGTTTGTTGTTTGGTTTACAAGTCATTCTCTTAGGTATTTGAATAGAGTGAATTGATTTCCCAATGCCTCATTACCCCAGAGAAACCTGACCAAATCAGGTTTCTAAATCTGCAGAGTTTAACATCAGACCTTTTCTACCTCAAAACACTGTAGCATTCCATGTCTGCCAGACCAGAGCAGCCACCTGCCTTCTCACCATGGCCATCCCTCTTTGCTTCCTCTCTCCTCTCTTCCTTTACCATGTCCCAAGGCAAAAGTATTATATGTGTGTGTGTGTGTGTGTGTGTGTGTGTGTGTGTGTGTGTATATATATATATATATATATATATATATAAAATACTTAGCACCAAGTACCAATCACAACTTTACATATATGCTTACAGTCTCATGGTATGCTTTTCTATAAAGAACTTGGAGAGTAGACTTATATGGCATCAAGCACTATTATACATAACTAACCATTTAATCAAAATTCTATTCCGTTCTCTCTACTACAAAGGGGGAAAGGAATTTTGTCATTTCCTTTCTGCATACTCCCCACTTTATATAAGTTTATGCCCTGGCAGAGAAAAGAATGAGCTAGTGGCCTCTGGAAGTTTCTGAACTGGCAGAGCATTTAACAAAACAAATATCTTTTCCCATATGTGTCATTCCCAGTAAACCCTTAGTCTTTGCCCAAAGTGCTCTAGGTGCAAACATTTTCTGTAAAGGTCCAGAGGGCAAATGTTTTAGGCTTTGCAGGCCAAATGCAATGACTCCACTCTGCCAACATAGCACCACAGCAGCCACAGACAATATATAGGTAAATAAGCATGACTGTTCCAATAAAACTTTATTTACAAAACAATCCAACTCCTACCATAAAACCTATTTTCTCCCCACTTCCCTGCCCCTGTCCCTGGTTTTTACAATCCCTTTCTCTAATTTCTTCTCATTTTCATCTCCATGCTAACTACTGTTTTGTCTATTCTCTAGGTAGGATCTCTCTAGAGGATGGAAAGAGTCAACAGTACATTGTTGACTGAGTTCATCCTGACAGGAATTCCCTACCCACTCAGGCTAAGGACATTTCTTTTTGTGTTCTTTTTGCTGATCTACACCCTGACTCAGCTGGGGAACCTGCTTATTCTAATCACTGTCTGGGTGGACAAGCAGCTCCACACCCGTCCCATGTACATCTTTCTTGCCATTCTCTCCATCCTTGACATGGGCATCTCTACCATTATTGTCCCTCGTCTCATGATGAACTTCACTTTAGGTGTCAAACCCATCCCATTTGGTGGTTGTGTCGCTCAGCTCTATTTCTATCACTTCCTGGGCAGCACCCAATGCTTCCTCTATACCCTGATGGCCTATGACAGGTACTTGGCAATATGCCGGCCCCTGCGCTACCCGGTGCTCATGAATGCTAAGCTGAGTATCTTGTTTGCAGCTGGAACTTGGGTGGCAGGATCCATCCATGGGGCTGTCCAGGCCATCCTAACCTTTCATCTACCCTACTGTGGGCCCAACCAGGTAGATTACTTCTTCTGTGACATCCCTGCAGTTTTGAGGCTGGCCTGTGCTGATACAACAGTCAACGAGCTGGTGACCTCTGTGAACATCGGAGTGGTGGTTGCCAGTTGCTTCTCCCTGATCTTCCTCTCCTACGTACAGATCATTCTAGCCATCCTGAGAATCCGTATGGCTGATGGGCGGCGCCGAGCCTTTTCCACCTGTGGAGCCCATGTAACCATGGTAACCGTGTACTATGTGCCCTGTGCCTTCATTTACCTGAGGCCTGGAACCAACAACCCCCTGGATGGGGCAGCTGCCCTGTTCCCCACATCCATCACTCCTTTTCTCAACCCTTTCATCTATACTCTGCGGAACCAAGAGGTGAAGCTGGCCCTGAAGAGAATAATAGGAGGCCCTGGGACTAACAGTGATGTTTGAAAGAACCTGTCTCCCACTGGGGAAACCTTCACATTTACAATTATTTTAATGTTTAGATTTCAGTGAGTTTTATTTTTCTTCCTGACTTTTCTCTTTTATGTAGCCATATAATATCAATACATCAAGATCAAACACAGTTTTAGGTAAAATACTACTTTCTAGCAGTTCCTTAATGTCCCCCACCCCTACCCCCAGGTAAACAACCCTCAGCTGCTACAAGAGTAAAGAGTGAGACTAAAGCCACTCAGAAGATAGCAAAACCTGGCACACTTAGACATCCAGAGGGTTGACATCTAGGCTGGAATTGATCAAGCCTGATAGGATGGACTATAAGTCTTTTGATGGGAAAATGTTCTTCAGTTCTGTTGCAATTGGACATATGAGTACACCTTAGGAGCTAGCGCTAGAAGAGAAATTACAGATGCCCTGCCATGTGTATCTTAACATGCCTGGCTTGGGGAGCTTCCTGAGGCCAGTATGGGATATGAAGAGGAACTAAAGTCCTTACTCTACCTTGCCTGCTGAAGAAATAAACCTTTTCTTAAACAGGTGCTTTCACAAACCAAACCAAGTTAAACAATCCAAAAAACAGAATGCAATAAAGTATTTTCAAATGTCTCAGTAATAATTCCCCCACACCAAAAAGTAAAGCTCAATATGAAATTTCCCATTAAAAAAATAGGGCAATTAATCAGGGAACCAGGATAATTTATCCAAATTAGTATTTCATATCCATTTAGATTCATGAGGTTGAAAAGCTTTCATTGAGTTAGGCCAGGGCTTAATCAATGTGGGCAAATTTCATGCAATATCTCTTGTTTTAACCCCTTCACACCTCCAATCTTATCCTATTATGTTTCTGCTTCATTCTCAGTTTTTTATATTGGCTGGTTGCTTTGTCCATGTGATGAAATCATGTCATCAATAGAGCAAAGTCTCTCGGTCTAGCAGAGAGTCACCAGTTAGGTCATGTGAATGTTCCTCTCCAAATGACTCACAAGTTCACCTAATTGATCTAGGAGACAGAAAACTAGCCATATTCCCTTTGATGAAACTGACATACACAATTCCTCAGTATTCTGTACTGAAAACAAATAATACACATCTAGTGTGTACAGTATACATATCAACTGCCTCGAACTAGAAAATTACTTATGAAATACCTTAATCTTTCAAAATATTTAACAATTAAATTGGTTGAATAGTTAATTACAAAAATAAGCTTAAATCTATAGCTTATGAACCAAAAAGTTTCCAAAGGCTATTATACATCTTGTTCCCATTTTCCCACATGCTTAGCACAATTGCTACATAGCTGTTGTTTTAAATATTAATAAAATAATATTATTACATGTCTTTATTCAGTTCCATGGGTGGAATGTTTCAGGCTAGGACTGAATGATCAGTTCAAACAAAAAGAACCAAAAAGGATTTTGGTAAGCCACATGAGGGTCTTATTTTAGGGGTGCAAAAGAGGAAGGTAGTAGGAGACAGGGGAGACTGTTGATCACAAGGGCTTTTGGCGAAGTCATATAAGAAACTTATATTTGCTTGTGACTCCGAGCGCTGTTATCTAGAGCATGTGTTTGCATGAAAGGGATAGCGTCGGTTGAAGGTCACCTGGCCATATAGAAATATGTAAATAAACAATACGACATGGAAACCGTGGAAACCTAACTGTCATCTTACTTTCTCTGAGGAGGAAGGTTTGTTTTCCCACCAGGAGGTATATACTAGCTTATTTCTTTCTTTCTTTCTTTTTTTTTAATATAAATCCATGCCGGTGCATTTATTTATTGTATTTATTTATTTTTTATTGGGGAATTGGGGGGATGGGAACAGTGCTGGGGAATATTGGGGAAAGGGGAACAGACAAGTTGCTGTCGTTTTGTTCTTCAATCTAGTTGTGGAGGACGTTGCTTCACTGGCCCAAGTTGGCACCATCATTGCGCTCTTCTCTGGCGAGGCAGATCAGTCGCCGGCTTCTGGACGGCCGCTCACTGCGGCTGCTGGCCGCTCACGCTGGCTGCTGGCCACACACGGTAGCCCATGGCAATCCACTGCCACAGGGACTGCAGCCCACGCCGTCGCCGGCGACTCATGGCAGCCCAGCTCCAGGTTGAGCTGTTGTTCAGCATCTTAGCTGTGGAGGGCAGTGTCACTGGCCCTCATATGTGGGATCCGAACCGGGGCCCTCTGGCATCCCAAGCGAGTTCTTAACCATCGCGCCACTCGGCCGGCCCCAGCTTATTTCTTTCTTGAAGGGAGATGCCAATGGCACTTCCATGACTGCCACACCAGGGATATGCTCCATTCTGCAATTTTGGGATGCCCTGTTGACCAATTTACCATCTATTGTCCACATAAGACTATGGTTGTAAGTGTAACTCTTCTATCATTGTCTTTGTAAGTGGACCGGGATTTGTGTCTGTTTCATTCACCACTGAATCTCCAGCACTAAGAAGAGTGTATGAACATAGCAGGTACTCAATAAATATTTGTTGCATTAGTGAATGAATATAGTTAAATCTCTTTTCCTTTCACTTTACGAAAGGAGACCATGAGAACCTTATTTTATCCACCTCTTCTTTACCTTGTACCTCTCAAGTTCTGTCATCTGTACTTTTTAATTGTAAAAGTTGATAAAATTTATATTCTATTTAATAACCATCAGTAGGCCTTTATTATTCTGTTTATGGTGATTCCAAATATGGAAAACCATTAAAAAGCATTTACCTAAAGGGTATCACATTATGACTATAAATGTTATTCATATAGTCAGTTAAGATGTGCATATTAAATGAAATGACATGTCTAAATTTTCCCAGTCTGAGTGAATGTGGGTGTGGGTGTGAATACTCCCTGCAATGGAAGGGGTGTCCTGCTCAGGGTTGGTTCCTACTTTGCCCTCTGAGCTGTCAGCACAGGCTCCAGCCCTCAAGACACAGAACTGGAGTCAATGACTTGGAAAATAATTATCTTACTTGTTTTGTTTTTTTAGCTGAGCCATCCTGCCACCTGTTGGCAGCTCAGCTGCAGCTCATCTCAATCCAGGAATCGAACCGCTGTTGCTCAGAGCTCAAACTCTTGAGTGAGCTCTTAACCAGCTGAGCCACTTGGCCAGCCCTATTTTGCTTGTTTTTATTAATCTTCCTTGTATGTCTGTATCACTTACATTTATTTCAGTGTTTAATAATAAGTATTTGGGGCTGTTATTTAGAAGTTTGGCGATGTTTTTGTGACTAGAAATATGATATAGGTACTTAACTCTTGTTTATATCAATTAGCCCATGGTAAAATTGGTTTCATTATACATCATTTTGCTTGAAGTCACAGTTTCCAAGAACCTATTGAGGATGTTAAGTGAGGACTTACTGTAACATATATACCAGAAACATACATATATAAAATATAATATGTGGGTGTATGAATGAATGCTCATTCTCACACTCTCACTTACAGTAAATCACATCAATTCGTTTTTGCTAAGCTGTTGGGAAGCTCATTTTTGTTTTAATTTCTCTAACTAATAGAGATTGAGTATCTTTTACTAGATTTACCTACAATTCAGAATTCCTCTTCTATCATTTGTCTGTTTATATCACTTGCTTATTTTTCTTTTCTTTTTTCTTTTTTTTTTTTTTTGCAAAATCAATCTGGATGTTAATATTTACTTAGTGTAACTCTGAATGGGTACATGGAAGACTATAGTTCCAACTGTTTATCACTGATGGAAGGAAATACAGGCGATCATTATTAGCTCTTACGTTTTCCGCAGTAGGTTTGCCACGAACATGCGTGACATGGTTTCTTCTTTTTCTTTGGGGGAGGTGGGAGCTGTTTGATAGGGTGTCTTAAAAGGTTTTAAATTTAAATGATGAATCTTTTAAGTCCACTTGGTATTACAGACAATACAGGGACAGACTGCAAGAAACGTTTCTTGATGAAACATCACTCGTAGTTTAATCCAGTGTACTGCTATGTCTCCTTTTTGGATGATGGTTTCTGATATTTTCATCAGTTTGTCCTTTCATGTGTGATGAGATCCTGGCGGAGTTGGGCCTGCAGTAAACACTTTTGGTGACTTAAGTATTGCCACTGCCCAGTCACTATCAGAACTTCCGACTGCCTTCAAGGAGGCATACTTGTTGAGCTCCTTGCCAGGAGGCTGCTGTTCATAGGGGTTGCAGATCTGGCCCAGGTTGGGGTACGAGTGTGGGTGGCCCATCTGCTGCAGCAGAGGCGAGGTGGGCACTGCATTGTTCATCTGGGTGGGGTGAAGATTATTTACGGGGGTTCTGGTATCCATGTTCTCATAATGCTGCACATGGACCACGATGTTGAGGTCTCTCTCCATATGGTCAGTGTTGCAGTGGCCCTGGGGCCTCATGACATCTGCGAGGGCCCGTTCTGAGGAGCAGGACGAACGCGTCCGCGACCTCCGCTTATTTTTCTATTGAGTTGTTTACTTTTCCTTATCAATTCATGAACGCTTTGTATATTAGAAAAGCCATCTGTTGATGATATGAGTACAAATATTTTCTTCCAACTGTATCATTTTTTTGTGTTTATTCTGTGTGCGTGTGTGTGTGTGGTTTTTTTGCTCCAAATTTTTAATTTTTGTGCCATAATCTTTTCCTTTATCGATTCTGGGCTTCTGTCTTGCTTAAGAAGCTCGCTTCTCAAACCATGATTTTCTAGTGTCCTTAATTCTCTTGTAACATGCTTATAATTTTGTTTTATTCATTTATATCTTTATTCCATCTGAAATTTATTTTTGCATATACTATGCAATAATAATCTAGATTTCTTTTTTCTCGTATAGGAAAACAATTGCCACTTAAAGGACATAAGAAAGTGAGCCAAACCAACAGCAAAGGCTTTGTCCTTCTCAGCCTGAAACTTAAAAATGAACTCATGGGTCCTAAACTTTTCCTACTGATTTCCTCAAGGAAGCCCTAGTAACCAAAACACCATACAAGATAGAGATGACAGCATGA